CCACCCCCCCACTTGAATGGCTCGCCCCTTCAAAACCTGAATGGCGGCAGTCCCCCCCCCCTCCCCCTCCAAACCTGAATGGTGGCGGCACCTTCCCCCCCCTCCTCCCAAACCTAAATGGCGGCAGCCCCCCCCCCCTCTCTCTCCAACCCGCCTCCGTCCTTCAAACCTGAATGGCGCCCCCCCCGCCCCCCATTCCAAAACAGAATGGCGCCCCCCCCCCCCAAAACCTGGATGGCGGCAGCCTCTCACCCCCGTCCAACCCCCCTGAATGAATGGCCCTCCCCTTCCTCCCTCCAAAGCGGAATGGCGCCCCCCCTCCAAAACTGAATAGACCCCCCCCCTCCAAACCTGAATGGCGGCAGCCCCCCCTGCCCCCTCCAAACCTGAATGGGGTCCCCCCCCTGAATGGCGGCAGCCCCCCCCACCCTCCAAATCTAAATGGGGGCAGCCCCCCCCCCCTTCCACGCAGCCACACCGGCACCCCCCAAATTCCCTGAATGCGGGCAGGCCCCCCCCCTTTCCCGGGCAGAGCCACCCCGGCACCCCCAAAACTCACACGCTGGATCTTCGGACTTTACGTTTACCCCACACTTTTGGGCTCATGCCCCCCTTTTATGGTGGGAGGTTGTCCCCGATCTAGCTTTTGCTTCGAGCCCTCAGCTTTTGCGTTGACCCCTCACGCTAGGCGTTCACCCCTCTTAGCTCACGTGTTGCCCCCTCATTCCCGAGCGTTGACGCTCTCCCTGTGTACTGCCCCCCGACGCCATGGGTCAGGCCTCTCGTGCGGTGACCAGCATTCTGGGCTTCACGCCACTCATGCTGGGGCTCTGCCCCTCCTTCACTCACGCGCTGATCCCTCATGCTCGGGCCTGGGCCACTCATCATTTGGCGCACTCTTCGGTGCAGCTGGCCCCCGCGTGCGTCGACACCTCATGTTGAGATTTGCCCCTCATGATTCGACCTGGCCCCCCCCAATGCGGGGCTCTGGCCCCTCACGTGTTGACGCCTTGCGCGGCGGAGCCCCGCCCCTCTCCCGCCCACGCTTGGCTCCCACGCCGTGGACCTGACCGCTCGCGCGCTGTCTCCTTTACCCGGGGGCTGCGACCCCGCCCGTGTCGCGCCCTGCTCTGGGGGTGGTGGCCCTGCATGCGGCGCACCGCGGATGCTCACCAGCCGTGCTGGGGCTCGGGCCAGCCATGCTTCGGACCCCTCATCCTGGGGCCTGGCTCCTCGTGCCGGGGCTGTCGGCCCCCGAGCGTTGACCGCTCATGCAGGGGCGACTCTGGCCCCTCACGTGGTAGCCCCTCAGGTCGGGGGTGCGACCCATCAGGGTTGCGACCCCGCACGCGGGTCCACATGCGCGTTGCTCATTCATGCTGGCGCTGTTGCCTCCTCGTGCGCCGACGCAGTCATCCTCACAGGTGTTGTCGACCTCCAGGGTAGCCCGGCGGCAAATGAAGGTGGTCCCGAGTACACCCCGTCTGTCCGCCCCCACATCGCCCTCACTTTTTCAGGCCCCTCCTGTCCCACCGCTCGGCCGCCCCGCCAAATCATGGCCTCTCTTTACTTTGCCCCCGCCCGCCCTCTCCCTGGTCCCCTCCCACGTGAAGGCGGGAGTAAGCCTCCTGTTCAACGTCCGTCCTGGGCGCATTCCTCTCCCTCTCAGCGGCGCCCTCCGCCCACTCCTGTTGCCCATCCGAGGCTCGTTTCCTTCACCCGCCACCTGGCTCTCCACCTGGTTGCCATCGGCGTCCCCTGCCAGCACCAGCACTGGAGTCGGAGTTCCAAGCCAGAGGTCCAAGACCACCGCAAGGAAAAACACACACACACACAAAAGAGGACGCACAGACCCTGCGCGTCCCGCGCCGCTGCCCCTGCGTTGCCGACCTCCTCCGTCCTCCCTCCTCCCTCCTGGGCCCGCTGCGCTGTGGGGCGCCTCCCTCCCTCCCTCCGAACCTGCTCCTTGGACTCCTGCTGCGGACCGCCAGCCGTCTCACGGGGCCGCCCCGCGCCTCGACCGGCGCCCCCTCGCAGCGGGCGGCATTCCCTGCTCGCGCGCGCGTGCCTCGTCCTCCCCCGCTGCGCCCCCGCGCGCCTTCCTCTGGGCTCTGCTCGCGTCGCGAGGGCGTGGCTCGCACAGACTGCCCGGGGCAGCCGGGCCCCGGTCGAACCTCCTCCGCGTTCGCCCTCCGGCGCTGCGCGCCCTGCTTGCTGCAGCGGGGAGGGAGGGCGATCCGATGGTGCTTGATGAGGAGACTCCGACGGACCTCACCTGCAGGGTTGTTGTCGGCCTGTCGTCGGCAGCTGGAGCATCTACATATTACCAGTGGCGGGCTGATTTTCAATCTCAGGACTCTTTGAGGGCCGGGGACGACGTCGGGGTGGTGTGAAGTATACTTTGTTGTATCCGTTTCCTTTCTGGGAACAACGAGACATGTATACACCAGGGTCTCGCATACACCAGGATCCGCTTTCCTGTGCAAGTGCCAGCGCATGG